CATCATGAAATCATCCAAATCTGGGGATCACCCAGAGAGAATCTCCCCAAGGAGCTGTTGGAATTCACATTATCCAAGGAATTCAAGCCCAGCCTGGCTCAGGAATATTGAGGAATACACACTGTGCCGGCTGGAAGGGAGAACAAAGTTATTTGTGTGTCCTGCTTGTGCAATATTTATGAATTTGAAGGGCTGAGTGGCCAGGATTAATCATCCTGAGCCTGAGAGCTGCAGTTTGGGCCCAGCTCATGATTCATGCCCTGACGTGATGCTGGAGTTAAGACAGGGCTGAGCCGGGGCACAAAATAGATTTGAGCAAGATCATTCCACCCAGGAAGGGCAGCAAGGGATAATTATTCCTGAGGGATAATTATGCTGCTTCTGTCTGTAAACAGAGGCTGGAACTGCTCAGCTGCTCTGGATTTTTGGGAGGAATGTTGGGGAACACCGAGGAGCTGCTGCTGGAAGGGACCCAGAGGTGAGAGAAGAGCCCAGGAGGGAGATTTGCTGATCCAGGAAAATGATTGGAAAAGCAGCTGAAGCCAAGAAAACTTAGGATAAATTCATTTACCCTTTCGTCCCCATGGAAGAGGGTCCATCAAGGCTCTGGTGTGGAAGGGAAATGAAGCAGCCTGTCAGGAATTCCTGGCTGGATTTCACGGGTCCCTTCCCATCATTCCAGCTCCTGTGTCCCCCCAGGCAAGGTCCCAGTTCCAAAGGGGAAATTCCACGTTTTCTGGGGCACAAACCACTCCTAACTGCACATGAGGACACAATATCCACCACGGATTTTCTGGAATCACAGAATCCTTTAAATTGGAAAAGCCCTCCAAGATCACCAAGTCCAACCATCAGCCAGCACCACGGTCACCTCCAACCCATGGCCCCAAGGGCCACATCCACACATTTTTTGCACATTTCCAGGGAAGGGAACCCCTCTGGACAGCCTTTTCCATCCCTTCTGAGGAGGAATTTTCCCTAAGATCCAATTTAAACCATTTCCGAGGCTGTTTCCTCTTGCCCTGAAGTGACGGTGAGGCCTGGGACAAAGGCTCCAATCCTGAGGGTTGGGATGATCCTTATTTTTGGACAAAAATCCTGCTCAGGCAGGGAAATAATTCCAAGATCAGTGCTTGGAACACAGCACTGAAGCCCTAAACCACCACCTTGCTCTGCATCCAGAGGAAAGAGGAACATTTAAAACCCAGAACATGCAGAGCCAGCGGGAAATTAGGGAAATGAATTCCAGCGCTTTTGCAGGAGCCCTGCTGAGGAGCATCCATGGATGAGGAGAGCCACGGGGTGAGGAGTCCATCCACAGCCCTCTGGAGAAGAACAAAGGGACTCTGCCACGCAGGGAGTGCCAGCTCCCAGAAATCCTACTGGAATCCATCCATGGAGGGTGGATTTATCCCAGAGAAATCAGATTCCCCAAGGGATTGTGAGAAGGACAGGAAGGGGCTCCCAAAGGTGGAGTCAACAAGAAAAGCTCTGCACATTGGGCACAAAAACAGAACTATAAAAGACAGAGATTTGTAACAAAATACAGTGTTTTTCTGTTCCTTCTGCTCCCTGATCCTTCCCAAGGATAAATCCCAAGGATAACAGCTCACCAAACCCATCCATTTGCTGCAATAACCAAAGGCCTCTGCCATCAACGACCGCTCTGGACAGTGCTTAAGGTTTACAAATATCTTAATTAGCCACTAATTACCTCCCAAACCCCACATCCTCGTTATGCAACGCCTGTGATTCCAATAAACATTTGGAGCTGGAATCGAGGTCTCTTTTATGCCTCAACAAAGCAGGAACAGGATGACCAGAGGAGTCCTGTGGCACCACCGGATCAAGGCCGCAGGTCCTGGAACAGCAGCCTGGAGCTTTAATTAATTCATTATTTGATGGAGAGCTGATTAGCTTGACAGGGAAGCCCTTTTCATGTCACAGAGCCTCACACGGAGCAGCTCTCCAGGAATTTCTCTGCCTGGATGTAGCAGAATTTCTGGAAAGCCAGATTTATCCCTGGGAATGTTGGAGCAACCTGGGATAGCGGAAGGTGGCCCTTCCAACTCAAAGATCCCTTCCAACCCAAACAGCTCCATGATTCCATAATTCCATGATTTCATGATCCCATGATTCCATGATGCCATGATTCCATAATTCTCTGATTCCATGATTCCATAATTCCATGATTCCATGAGATCTGGAGGCTTCCAGGCCGCCCTGTGCTCATCCAAAATCCATGTCCTGCTCCGGGATGTTCCCATCCTGAGGTGGTGCAAGCTCAGCACATCCCCAGGCTCATCCAAGAGCAGGAACTTGTCTGATGTTTTTCCATGTGGGACATCTGGCTGTGCCCACACAGGGTGGGAATGAGCCACAGGAAGGAGTCCCGAAGGAAAAGAGGGATCAGCACTTCCTCCAGACCTTCCCATGGCAATTCAGGGCAGCAAAACAAGAAAATAAAGGAAAATACCCCAAAATAACAAATCTCTTCCCTGCTCAATGATGTCTCCAGGGAAAAGGTGGAAAGGGAGTGAGCCAGAAGGGATAAATGCTGATTTTTGGGAATAAAAAGTGTCCTGAATAGAGCAAACCATCCCAATCCCAAAGCTGATTCTTCTTGCTTAAATCCAATATTTGAAGCAGAGAAAAAATCCCTTGCACAGGCTGACACCCTCCAATCCGCCTCTTTTTTTTTTTGCTTACCACAAACCCACTTTATTGAGGTTTCCGTTGCTTTTTTAACATCTTGTTGCTTTTTTAGCATCTTCTGCCTCCAGGTTTCCATGGCATGATCCCACATATCCCGAAAAACCCAGCCTGGCTCTCAGTAACATTTGCCCAGGGTGGGTTTTGTGGATGACAGGGCTTTTCTAGGGCAGATATTCCACGTTTGAGTCTCGATTCCCACTCTTCACTGACCTATTTTATTGAGATATGGGGGGAGCAGTGAGGGGATTACTTCAGGTCCATTTATGTAAGATACTCAGGACATAAATCCCTGGTTTTTCCTGCTGAAAATGTCAAGGGGAAAAAAAATATTCCTGCTAAACAAGGGCAATTCCAGAGCAACACGTCCCTTCCCAACCTCCTGGAGAATTCATGGATTTCCTCCTTCCTTAGGATTTGACAGCCTCACTTCAGGGGGAGCTGCAGAAACATCAGGAAGAGGAAATTCCCCCCCATCCCAGACATCCAGAGGGATGTTAATAAAGCCTAAGTCGTGGCATTTGGGAAATGTGTTTGTGCCTGGGCCTTCTGTTCCTAATTAGCAGAGCAGTAATGAATCTTGATGAATCAGTAATGACCTTCAAAGCACTGCAACTATTTCAGCTTCCACTTGGCTGGGTAATGAAGTCATTCCAAGAGCAGAATTCCTCTTAGGATGCTGCAAAAGGCTGAGCTCAAATTCCATGATTTTTTCCCCCTTTCCTGATTTTCTGGAGCGTTCCAGGACAGGAAGTTTAAGGGGTGACAGAATTCATCATTTCTTGCAGGGATTGTGGTGGGCTGATAGGAATGGCCAACTAATGGTTGTCTCCAGGAAATCCCATCAGTTTTTCCAAGGATTCCCCAGGAATTCCAGGGAATTCAGTAGTTATTGGATGCATGAGTGCACACCCAGCACTGTTTGTTCCACCTGGGCAGGCAGGTGACAAACTCTGCATGGAATGCTCATCCATCATTCCAAAGTTGGCTCTTCACCTTTAAGAATCCTCCCAGTTCTTTTTCTGATAGCAAAATCATGGAATCATGGAATGGTTTGGGATGGAAGAGACCCTAAATCCCACCCAGAGCCACCCCTGCCATGGCAGGGACACCTCCCACTGTCCCAGGGTGCCCCAGTGTCCAGCCTGGCCTTGGGCACTGCCAGGGATCCAGGGGCAGCCACAGCTGCTCTGGCAATCCCAGCCCAGCCAGGAATTCCCAGTTCCCAATCTCCCACCCATCCCTGCCCTCTGGCACTGGCAGCCATTCCCTGGCTCCTGTCCCTCCATCCCTTGTCCCCAGTCCCTCTCCAGCTCTCCTGGAGCCCCTTCAGGCCCTGACAGGGGCTCTGAGCTCTCCCTGGAGCCTTCTCCTCTCCAGGGGAACATTCCCAGCTCTCCCAGCCTGGCTCCAGAGCAGCTCCAGCCCTGGAGAAGCTCCATGACCAAAAATGATCCAACAGGAAACTTCCTCAGGTTTCTGTTGTTTGCTCAAAGCAACTCAGCCCCTGATCACATTTGAGGAACAGTGTCCAAAGCAATGAGGCCCCACCAAAAATTTCTCTGTCCCCACCCCATTTATGGCTCCAGCTCCCCCTAATACCTTTGCACAGGAGGGTTTTTGGCAGGGTTTCCCCTTTCCAGCCCAGCCATTTGTTGTCACAACCTCACAGGTATTTAATTATCTCTGAGCTGTCTGTTCCACTGGCAAATGTAGCTGGAATTAGCAACAGGCAGAAAAAATAAATCCCTGTTTTTGGGGAAGGGTGACACAGCAGGCCCTGGCAGCCTGGGCACGTGGGATTTGTCTCCGTGAGCAATCCACCTCTAAAGGATTGAGGAGAAAATAAAAACCAGATGAAAATAAAACCAAGAATTTCTCTTTTTCTCTGATTCCCTGGTCAAGGGTCAGGGAATCCCAGAGTGGTTTGGGATTAACACTGATCTCATTCCAACCCCTGCCGTGGCAGGGACACCTCCCACTGTCCCAGGGTGCCCCAGTGTCCAGCCTGGCCTTGGGCACTGCCAGGGATCCAGGGGCAGCCACAGCTGCTCTGGGCAATTCCAGCTCAGCCTCTTCCCACCCTCCCAGCCAGGAATTCCTAATTCCCAACATCCCATCTAAATTTCCCCTCTTTCCATTTTAACCCACTCCTCGTTTCCTGCCACCAGCTCCTGATGAACATTCCTTTTCCAGCTCCCTGCAGCCCCTGGAACGTGCTGGGAGCCCTCCCCACCACGGGATGCCTTCATCCCCACAAAGCTGGCCCGGGAGCTCCTCCTCCTCACCCGTGCTGCTGGAGATGTTGACGTCGATGCTGATGTCCGAGATGCCGCCTCCCTTGAGGGACGCCACGCAGGTGTAGGTCCCGAAATCCGTGAACTTGAGGTCGATGATGTCCAGGTTGGTGGTGCCTGGGGACACGTCGGGGTCGGTCTGGGTGATCACCATCCGCTCCGAGCTGCGCAGGGGCCGCCCGTTCTTGAACCAGCTGAAGGTGAGCTCCTCCGGGGGGATGGCTTCCACCTGGCACGAGATCTTCACCTCCCGCCCGATCTGGATGTTGTCGTCCTTGTGGTACGGGTCGGGGGTGATCCAAAAGCGTCCTTTTTTTAAGGCTGGAGCACACACACACACACACACACAAAAAAAAAAAAAAAAAAAAAAAAAAAAAAAAAAAAAAAAAAGAGAAATTTTATATAATGGAGTGGAAATTTGGCTTCATTGGTGTTGCTGTAGGACACGAAATAAAACGATGTGGACACGCGACTCTCCAAGGTAAAAAAGAGGGTGAATTTAATTCTGATCCCAACATTTATAGATTTCCAAAAGTGACAGCGGATTGGAGGGTGACAGTGCCACCTCTCCAATGACACTGGACAAACCAAAACCAACAGCCCATCAAATTTCTCCTCCTCCTTAAAAGAATGCAAAACAATGAGTAATTTACATAAAGCGCATAAAAAAGTTCATTACAAGAATGTAAACATCAGAAGGCTTAAAAAAGCTTTAAAAAAACTTTAAAAAAGCGGGGAGACACACTGGAGGACTAAATATGATTTTTAAAGGGGCAGCAACCGCAGGATTTTATTTTACTCCCAGGAATCTGCACAGCACCAAGTTGGAATCACGAGGATGAACCAGTTGGAAACTGGCACGGAATGAAACTCTGAGGCACAAACTGAGCTTTATTTTGTGCGAAAATAAATGAGATATCAGGCAGAAATTGATTATATTATTTTATGAAATATATAATATTTTATTTATGAAATATAGAATATTTTATGTAACATTTTAATGTATGAAATATAATTTTATTATTTTTAGGATGAAACACTGGCATGGGTTCCCTAGAGAGCCAATGGATGCTCCATCCCTGGAAAAACTCAAGGCCAGTGGTTTTTTTTTTGGAGCAACTTGGGATAGTGGAGGTGTTCTTGCTCCTGGGATGGAATAGGATGAACTTGAGGGTTTCTTCCCACCACTATAATTCTGGGATTTTTTGGTGGAATTCCCGACCCTAACCCTTGGACCTTCCAAAGCACATGTTAAACACACGGCTAATTTTTCCTAGGAATTGAAATCCCGATTAAATTCCATCATGGATAAGGCAGCTGTGAAGTGCTGTCACTTCCACAATGAAAACTAGAAAGTCCCAGCACCTAAATCAGGCTGAGCTGCTGCCAACCAAAATAATTCCTGAGATTTCAGGGGTTGTTTTCCATCTCTGGAGGGATTTCCAGGCTTTTCCTCATCCCTGTCCTGTCAGAGCACCAGAAAAAGGGAAATATCACCCTAAAATCACTGGCACAACCGGTGGGGTCACCTCCAATCCATCCGGAATCTCTCTTGCATCCAAGACTATCCAAGCCTCCAGTGCAAATCCAATTAATTCTCCACCTCCCACCAGAGATAAGGAAATCTCAGGGTTCCAGATGGGAATTTTTTGAGGGATAACCTCCAGAACAGGGACACAGCAGCTCTGGAAAACCTCATTTCCCACCATCTTCCACATAAAGGAGCCGTTTATCCTGGCATTCCATCCTTAATCTCCGGGAATGAAATATTCCTGCATCTCACTCGCCTCAATTTTCTGTAAATGAAAAACCTAAAACTCTCCAAAACTCCACCCCCGTTGACATCAACTGAGGCTTGGGATGATCCTGATTTTTTTTTTGTTTTGGGGGAGAATACTTCAGGATTCAGGCATTTAACCTTTCAAGGACAGAGATTTTTTGATGAACTGAATAGAAAATGCTCCTGACACAATCCCCAAATCCCTTTTTTTTCCCTATAGAGATGTGCCAAAGGATATTTATGGGTTTTTCCAAGTGGTTTTTTTCCATCTGGATGGACCCAAACCAAAAATATTAGTTAGAAATTGTACAGATCCCCAGGCTGGGTAGAAGTACTGAGGATGAATATTGATGTCCACCATTGATGGCGATTTCTACTGAGGGGTTTCCCAATTCCCTGGGTTCCTCTTCCCATTCCCTCTGTCCTGGATCCATTTCACAGAATCCCACAAGGGTTTGGGTTGGGAGAGACCCTAAATCCCACCCAGTGCCACCCCTGCCATGGCAGGGACACCTCCCACTGTCCCAGGGTGCCCCAGTGTCCAGCCTGGCCTTGGGCACTGCCAGGGATCCAGGGGCAGCCCCAGCTGCTCTGGCAATTCCAGCCCAGCCAGGAATTCCCAATTCCCAATCTCCCACCCATCCCTGCCCTCTGGCACTGGGAGCCATTCCCTGGCTTCTGTCCCTCCATCCCTTGTCCCCAGTCCCTCTCCAGCTCTCCTGGAGCCCCTTCAGGCCCTGCCAGGGGTTCTAGAGATTCCATACTTTGGACATACTAGAAAATCTGTCTGCTCCATCCACGAGTGGTGAAAATGTGAGTTCAGATTCAGTTTTGCTTATTCCAACTCAATTTTGCTAATTCCAACGAAACTTTGAAAATTCCTATGCAATTTTGCAAATTCCAACTCAGCTTTGCTAATTCCAACCCAGTTTTGCTTATTCCAACTCAGTTTTGCTAATTCCGACCCAATTTTGCAAATTCCAACTCAATTTTGCTAATTCCAACTCAATATTTCTAATTCCAACTCAGTTCTACTAATTCCAACTCAATTTTGGTAATTCAGTAGCTCCTTAAACAAGGACTTACAAATTCCACGCTGAAGGAGCATTCCCACCACCTGGAAAAGAATTAACATTTCCAGAGCTCGGAAAAGAATTCATATTTATTTATTTATATATTTATTAGTTTGTCTTTTCAAAGTGGGGGGAAAAGGCCTAAATTTGAGCTATTTACCCTCAGTCCCACAGGGTAGGAGAGGCTTCTTCCATTGAGGAAGGCAACATTTTTTAAGGAGAGAATGAAAAATTTGGTATTTTTCTAGGAAAAGCATCATTTTGGATGCTGCTCCTCAGTTCCAACCACATCTTAAAAGCATCCAGCTGGTTGATTTTATTTATTCATTAATTATTTTATTTATTCATATTATTCATTTACTTATATTTATCTAAGGGAGTTCCACGGCTTTAATCAAGAATGGAATTTTTTGCACTCCTCTTTGCCGAGCCGCTCTCCTTCCCTTGGGGAATTCTCAGCCAATTCCCAGGAATCAGCACTACCAAGTTGGAATCACGAGGATGGATGAACCAGTTGGAAACTGCCACAGAATTAAACTCTGAGGCACGAGCTGAGCTTTTTTTTTTGTGTGTGTGTGGAAACAACAGCACAAACAATGCTTACACACACAAAACCCCCTCAATATTTTATGCAGATCCTTTTCAGGCAGGGGAGAACCAAAAAAGAACTCAATGGGCACGACCAGCACGACGTTTCAGCCCAAATTAGTTGCTCATAACCTCAATAAACTATTTTTATTTCTGAGTTTTCAGCAATTTCTCCTGCCTAGAACTGAACAAAGTCTAGCAGGGAAGTCAGGGCAACTTTCCATTGTGGAAAAGCACAAATTCCAAGGTAAGAAAAGGGGACAGAACCTCAAAGTTTGGGTCAAAGCTGTTTCTTGGAAGCAGAAGGGGGTTGGAAGTGGATGGTCTTTAAGGTTCTTCCAACCCAAACCATTCCATGACTCCGGATGAGGTTTCCAAAATCGCTTCAGAGCTTCCTGATTAACACCACGTTGGGAACACCTGAGCTGAGCCTGATACAAACCCACTGGATAAAGGAAAAAGGGGTTTTTGTATCGTTTCCTCCATCCAGCAATCCCATAGAACAGTGGCTTGGGTTTTCCTCAGCTGTAGATTCCTGCACCCCTGTTTCCAGGAGGAAATTTCCAGGAGGGCATTCCAAAATGCCAAGAAAATTGAGCCATGCCATGGGTTTTGTCTTTGTGCTACCAGTTATGCGCTGAGAAGTTTTCATGGGGTGCGACACAGAAATTAAAGGGAAAATAAAGGTTAAGGGGTTTTTGCACAGGCAGAGACAAGGGGGAATGGTAATAAACTTAAAGAGATTTAATGGGATATTGGGAATTGGGAATTCCTGGCTGGAAGGGTGGGATGGAATTCCCAGAGCAGCTGTGGCTGCTCCTGGATCCCTGGAAGTGCCCAAGGCCAGGTTGGACATTGGGACTTGGAGCAGCCTGGGACAGTGGGAGGTGTCCCCATGGCAGGGGTGGATGGAATCATCTCTAAAGTCACTTCCCACCCAGACCATTCCAGGATTCTCAGATAAACCAGCAAAATGTGGGAGATGCTGCTGCAGACCCCTCCCAGCGGATTTTTGGGAACGTCATCAGCCCACGGAGCCGCAAAGGAGCAGCGAATGTGCAAATAAATCTGAAACTGTTCTCTGAGACTCAGCAAAGTGCCAGCCTCACTCCAAAGAGGCCCCAAAGAATGAGGATGTGATCAAACAACCCGAGATGAAACAACTTTTGTCCTCAAACTCCTCACAAACAGTCCCTGCCCTCCCTCATTAATTATATTTTCAAAGTAATAAAATGCAGTTCAGGATCTCAAGCAAGGCCTATTTGCATTCATCAGGTTCAGTTGGTTTTTTCCCACCACCTCCCTGATCAACCTCAAATTTTCCTTTAATGCCCCAGAATGTTCCTGCCTCACCAATTTCCAATGGCTCAAAAAACCACCACTAAACACATCAAGTTCTGCACGATTTTCTGCACCACTTTTAGGCTTTGACACGAGAGTTACGGACCCCTGGCTGCTTCCCAAGTGGATGCAGGACACAGGGAATGTTTGGATTTGTGGTTGCTGATGGTTCAATCTGTGTTTAACGTGTTACATGGAGCAGCAAACTCCAAATTTCCGGTTTTAACCTTCTTTGAGCAGCCAGAGGTCCCTTGAAGCACCTCCTGTGCCCTCCCCTGAGGAGGTTTGGAGTCATTTTGGTTGCTTCCCTTCACTTTTTGTCAGGAATTTTGGTTTGACCCATTCACAGTGAACAAGAAGAGGACTTCACCCAAGCAGATGTGGAGCCCTGCACGGTCTTGGAGCAGATGTTGGAATTTTGGGGAGCTCAGAACCCAGCCTGGCCCTTTTCCTCAGCACCCAGAGTGGGAAATTTCCCATATTCCAATAATTTCATGCCCAGCCCCACCTCACTTCCAGGATCCTCCAAAATCACTGGG